TAAATAGATGAACAACGCGGACAACTCGTGCTGTCCGTCAGTTTCTTTTTCTTTGCCGGGGTTAAAAATGACATGAACTAGGAAACGAACAATCTTTAGCTTGCCCGATTTGACCCGTGTCTAATATAAATCGACTGTCAGAATCATGCTATATATTAGCTGATATACACATATCAATATCTCAAAGTCACCACGCGCTTCGTTTAATTTCGACTGAGAAGGGATCATTTGATAGCCCTAACATGAGTTATATATATATATATATATATATATATATATATATTATATATATTATTATTATATATATATTATATATATATCAGTGCTAACCCCACTACTTAAGATCTTCAGTGCTAACCCCACTACTTAAAGATCTTCAGCGACAGCATGATTGGTGTGGAAACTTAATTGCTGTCGCAGCGAGCGAGGGAGGCAACACTCCTGATCGATACATTAGGAGGGAAAATCTCGATTTTGCTATATGCGCTTTGCATTGCGGTAGTTTTTATGCATTTTTTCCTTGTACCTGTACTGTATGCAATCCAGTCGGCATATTTTGAATATTAACGAAACATAATACTTTTTATCACAACAAAGCTAGTCATCGGGCGAAACCTGACACTATGGTCTATTTATTATTTCTATACAGAATCGTAGCGTTGCAAACACGAGAATTATACTTCAGGATAACAATATGGCTATAATAATATCAATGTATCGATCTTCTATCGATCCTTCGAACGCCCGGAATTCTAACAAAGCAGGTGATATATCACGTGTGAATGCGCCAAAATTCCCATACTTGATCGGCAGACATATAGCACTTATAATCGAAATTTGCCATACTTTTCTATTAAATTCAACCAGGTAAATGTAGTATCGAAATGCTTAATTCATGCGCACTCTTACGACGTGCAGGACGTTCGGCAAAATAAAATGAGATATTTCCTCTATATCCACGCAGTTATTTCGCGTCATAACACAATAAACTATTATATGCAGCAGCCGAAATACAAGGTTTCAAACCAATATTGCAAATATATTATTCCTTGCATATGATATTATAATGCCGATTATCCAAATGTTGTCCAACTTTGTGCGCTCATTCAGTGATCATAACAAGGAGGATGAAGATGTCTTAACACCAGTCCGAGAGATCTTAATCGCACCGCAAAAACGGTAAAATCTTCATGCAATATGTGATATCTCCCGCGCTATACTGGCTATATCAAATCCCGTCTCATCAAACGTAATAACATTAGCCTTTTCCCATAAGAGAGGAACTATCATTTACACGATTTAGCGAACTTACATTAAAGGTTAAACACACCAGACTTCGTGCCGCTACAAGGCGCATTTCCGTCTATAAAGGCGAAATATAAGTCCATTCTAAAAGCAAATTTCGAGCTATGCATGGACCATGATAGTAATCGCCAAGTGTAATCCCCAGAATACTATAAAAGGTAGAATTTACTCATTTAGAACTGAAATTTTTATCGGCCGAATTGTGTCGGGTCTGTGCAGGCCTAAATTGCCGATTTCCACTGTCCGCTGTACGAGGGCGGAAGTATTGATCTGTAGAAATAAGACCAGTGTATACACAGAGTTCTGATTTGCACACTTAAGATTATATAAACAACTTAATTCTTCAGGCTTGAATTCAAAAGTTTTCAAATTATTACTTCATTAATTGACGGATGTGCCGCTTTTGGGAGACCTAATATTGAACCCTGCAGCATGGTAGCATAACAAACAGCAATTGCCCTAAATAATTCCCTTACACGACATTCATGAGCTTCTACGTTTGAAACTAATTTCATATAACAGCAATTACCTTGATGTTCTTTAATAACCAGCCAATTCACTGTACGTAATCTTCTGGTTTCCGGCTCAAAAAATGAAACCCACTTAGTTCTCTTGACTACTCCTTGAATGAAATCTGAATTAAAGTGCGAAGGTTTGACTGGGCTTCTCAGGATGTTCTCAACATCTGCATGGTGCAATCACGCGTGTTATTTGATCCGAAGGTAAAGAAAAATATTATTATACAACATGCAGTACGTAGGCATGACAACCGTATAAAATTTGCGTGGCGTAAATTCTTTTCATTTATTGCGGGTCGGGATAAAATGCGGATGCGAACGGACGGACAAAAAGAATAAAATGCGGATTGTGGATTTCAATATTACATGTCATTAATAATGAGAGATGTAAGCTCTGTATATCCAGTTGAAACTTCACATTTCAGTGGAGTAACCCATCATGGTATCGACAACATATTCAAAGCAAAATACGGCTGTTTTTAAATAAACACAGTTCTTGTTTACGTAAACTCAATGTATGCAGTTTAAACTTCACACTTGGGCAATCCGCATTTTATTCTTTTTGTCCGTCCTTCCGTTCACATCTGCAGTTTATCCCAACTCAAACGGTGACAACATTTTTTTAGCTGATGCTTACAAAATTTATCATCCAACTTTTTCAGTACTTTTCTTTATTTAACTAAAATCACCCATTACACTGTGTATAAAACGTACGTTCACAATATCACTAGATTCAATACAAATGCAATCTTAAGTGTCAGGCATAGATACACAGTACAATCACATTTTCAAACACTTAAATCACAAAATTATACATCAATTAGCTTGAAAAACAAGAAGCAAGGCCATCAGTGAGATACCTTATCGTTTACCTACACAGTCGTATTTACTCTTTGAACCATTGGACACGCACTTTCCTCCGTACTTACAGTCCTGCGTGCATTCTTCGACATTAGGGCCGCATGTTGCTGTACAACCTTTGTATTTACAAACTTGATTACATCTCTTAGAATTGCATGTCAGCTGGCAGTTGGCCTTGTAGCACTCTTGTGAGCAGGTTTCTCCTCCTGAACATTCTGCTTGGCAGCCTTGTCCCTTGTAACATTCTTGCTGACAGTCTCTCGAGTTGCAAGATAATGAACACTTTCCTTTATAGCATTTTTGTTGGCACGTCTCTTTGGCTCTGCTTCCATTATTACACGTTGCTTGGCAGTCTTCTTTGTAACATTCTTGCTTGCATGCAGAGTTTTGTATCGCAGGACAATGAGCAATGTCCAGATCCTTTCCTGCATTTTTGTTGGCACGTCTCCCTGGCATTACATGTTTGCTGGCAGGTTTTACTGTAGGAGCACTCTTGCGAGCAGTGTTTCACACCAACATTACATTTTGGGGTGCAATTTGCGTGGTAACATTCCTGAACACAGGTCTCATCTTTTTCATTGCATGAATAATCACATCTTTTTCCAATGCAGTTAGTGCTTCTGGGACAACTGAATTTGTCACAACTTGCATGCGCATAAAATGAATTGCCATCAAGTAAACATAAAACGAGGAACGACAACGCAAGCCACTTGGGGATCGTTGCAGTTATACTCATCTAATAAAAACATTTTGTGAAAGTTTTGCAAAAGGGTGAGACTAAACTACATACATCGATACATCGACTACTTTACTAAGGCCTAATTTATCAATTGTATTCTGGTCTTTTTGGTTGAAAGACTGATGAAATAAAATTTCATGTACCCATGCACAATTCTAAACGATATAATAATACTAGAAATACACGCAGGGAGGCAGTAAATATTTATGTCAGATAAAATCCATATTTGGTTACCACTCATGGTTGGAATTAAGCTTTTCGTTAAATTTGAAAGCATAATTTGCAATTGTTTCATGGGCGAGAGGCTAAGCCTGAGGGAAATAAGTGCCTCCTCAGAGGAGCGGTTTTGTTGTCAACAATTATTTGCTGTCTACACTTATTTTCAACTATTTAAAGCGATTTTAGCATTCCACACACGAACAAAGTGTGTTAAAAGCGTGAAGCACAGTCCGTCATGTAAACAAACGCTGTGTTTACATTTTGAATCCGTATATTTCTTAATTAAAATATAAAGAATTTTTAGAATATTTTAGTCCGCTATATTTTTAAATGGATATGAGAGAGAATTTATTCTAAGAGATATACGAAACGTGCGAAATTTGAGCAATTTTGAAACAAGTAGGCCACCCATTTTGTTATATGAGCAGACCGATTCATCGACAGTTGCTTTGCCAGTTTGTGTCGGTCTTCACAGAATTCTGGGTCTAACCGCAGTTCGCGCTAGTCGTTTGACGAAAGGACAGACATGCAGTAAAACGTATTTAAGAAATTGACATTTAAAATACAAAATTGAGAACTACATAATCGTGTAAAATTTGATATTGTTACTTGCAATTAACTTTGCCACATTCCCTTTTTGCGCTTCTAACTTCAGCCCTTAGCCCTAATTAAGCCGTATATTCCTTACATGACATTTGTTAGATTCTACGATTATTTATGGTAATTACCTTGACGTGCTTTTACCAGTTATTAGTTCTATCACGGAATGAAATACTGTCCTAACTGCAGACGTTTCGTTTGAATGTGCATTTTTCGGTAAGTGAAATATGATACGCGAGTTTGCATGGCAACCGTACGTGCTTCCGTGTACTAATTTCGAACATCTGAAAATTATATCGGATTCGAGACGTTTCTTCAACTTGTCTTTGCATAATTAACATTTAATTGTTTTGTCTTCAAGAATATTTATTAAATATAATTGTCTTCTTCAGTAATGTACCAAAAAACATCCATAATAACGTAATCTATTTTGAGTACGCATTTTGCAACCTTTTGTATACCAAAATTCTTAATGGTCAAACACCTCAGTACCTACAAGAGATGTTCGTCTCTAGAATGGGGCAGTATTCTCTTAGGAATTCTTATGGCAAATTGTTTATTCCTAAACCTAACACTGATTACTTAAAGCGCTCCTTCTCTTATAGCGGATCATTTCTTTGGAACAGCTTGCCTGAAATATATATATGTATATATATATATATATATATATATATATATATATATATATATATATACATATATATAAATTAGACTGTAAATATTTAAAAATCAAATGTACTGATGGTTTTCTTTCCGTGTTTAAATAAAGCGTATGTATGTATGCCGGAAGAATTTGAAAACAGAAAAATATTTATCCGTCAAAATATTTCTCTGCCTCCGCATGCACGTAAACACAAAAACCATCCGAACGATAACTTATTGTCTATTGTTCATGGTTGATATGTAGGTCTTCTTAGTTTGAAGTAGTGTGTCACGCCTTCAAATCCTTTCGACAAGCGACTTGTGCGAGTAGACAAGGAAGTCTGCGAAGCCTGACACAAACCGCGGGCGCAAAACGGCAACGCAACGAGAAATTTTTATGATTCAAGTTGTATGCCACCCTCGTTACTATTCCACGTTGTCGCTTTTAATTCCTAAACGGTAATACAATAAAATAAATTAACGCGTATAAATGTAGAATCGTCGTATATACACGATAGAATAAACATACACGATAGTTTGAGCGTTCTGGGGGCTCCACTATACAATTATACAATTCCAACAATGTGAAGCCGTACGTCCTGTGTCTCAAGTGCAGGAGTCACCATTGCGCTCTGGTGATAGCCGGGAGGGCACATTGTTTTACATAAATATATATATTAATATATAATAATATATATTATATTATATATATATATATATTATATATATATTATATATTATTTTATATATATTATATATATATATATTATAATATATTATATTATATTATATATATATATATATATATATATATATATCATGCTCTACCCACACAGTGTTTCGGAAAGAAGAGTTTTGGTTTCTACAGGTTCCATTTATGCGAGACGGCGAGAGATTGATAGATTTTTGTTACGATGGCATTGCTGATTGAGTGTTTAATCAATTGGTTCATTAATCTTCCCATAGACCGATGCGACTCTTCCCGGCCAGGCTGTTCAAAATTTGTAATTGTTACACGAGCTATTTTTTCATTCCCATATATGTTCTGGTCATAAAATGATTTATTTTATCTGAAAAGGCGAAAAATCTAACTAGTGATAAAAAATTTTCTTCCCAATTTATTAGGACTTTATATACCACTTATTAATCGAATTTGAGGTCCGTACTAGAAAAATATCAGACCGAGGTTCTGACAGTCGAACCGAGCGATAGCGAGGTCTGTACATAAAAGAATGAGGTCTGATATTTTTCCAGTACGGACCGAACGTATTCGGTTATTAAGGAATTTAATATATAGCATACAGTATTTAGTTTAGTTTATTTATACAATGCGCTTCAGCATTCTTGCCGGCTCTTTCGCCAGCCAGTCGCCAAGCAAGCACTAAAGTGTTTTCCAAAACTTTGTTTTTTACTCGTTAAATAAGAATGATACAGTAATATAAACAAAAATCAAAGATGAATAAATATAATATTCACATGTACCAAATAATACTCTTCTTCGTCCATTCTCCGTTGTTATTTTTCGCGTCAAAAATAAAAGTTCAAGCTTGTTTTTGTTTAAAAATATGAGAGTTGGACCGTTACTACGGCAACGGTCTAATACTGGGAGATTCCAGACCGGCAAAGAACCAATCAGCGCACGCCATTTTAGTCACGAGACCGCGTGCCATGTAATAAATTTATATAAAATCATTCATTACACATAGAACTACAAAAACGACGATCACAATATTAGTTGGTTCAATAGAATCTTCATTGTTCATGCATTCATTGTGCAGTAATAAACCTCAGCGGAAACACCCCATTTGTTCGCTTTTAAAATTCAAATCGCAAAATTATACATTAATTAGCTTGAAAGACAGCAAGGAAAATAACCAGCAGGGTACCGTATCGCTTACCAAAACAACTGGCTATGGTAGTGCTTGTTGCCGTTGTACTTGGATTGAGTACCTGGACCCATTGGCTGCCTTTTTTAACACATTTTTTGGCGTTGCAATGTGATACGCAATTTGTGTAGCGACATTCCTGCGTGCATTCCTCGACATCGGGGCCACATGTTGCTATACAACCTTTATAACCACAAACTTGATGACATTTCTTAGAATTGCATGTCATCTGGCAGTTTTTCGAACATAAACATCTTTGCGAGCAGGTCTTAGTTCCGTTACCACATTTTAAATTGCTACTAACGGCATATGAAGATTGCTGCGTGCATTCCTCAACATCAGAGCTACATGTTGCACTGCAACCTTTGTATTGGCACTTCTGATTGCATTTTTTGGAATTGCATGTCAGTCGGCTGTTATTCGAATAGAAGGTCGTTTGCGAGCAATTTTTGATTCCGGCATCACATTTGAATTGGCAATCATCACCATAAGAACATGTCTGCGTGCATTCCTCGACATCAGAGCTACATGCAGCTGTACAACCTGTGTAGGAGCACACTTGATTACATTTCTTAGAATTGCATGTCTGCAGGCAGGTATTTGAATATAAACAACCTTGTGAGCACTTTTCTGTTCCATTCTCGCATGTAAAATTGCAGTAATTCCCGTAGGGACAGTCCTGCGCGCATTCCTTGACATCAGAGCTACATGCAGCTGTACAGACTGTTTGAGCGCACACTTGGTTACATTTTTTAGAGTTGCATGTCTGCTGGCAGTTATCTGGATATGCACAATCTTGCGAGCAAATTTCAATCGCATTGTCACATGTGAAATTGCAAAATTGCCCGTACAAACACTCCTGCTTGCAATTCGTAACGCCCGAACCACATGCTGCTATGCAACCCGCGTAAAGGCACTTCTGATCGCATTTTTCGGAATTGCATGTGAGCTGGCTGTTGTTCGTATATGAGCTCACTTGGTTACATTTCTTAGAATTGCATATCTGCTGGCAGTTATCTGGATATGCACAATCTTGCAAGCAAATTTCGGTGCCATTGTCACATGTAAAATTACAATAATCCCCGTACCCACACGTCTGCGTGCAATTCTTGACGCCCGAGCCACATGTTGCGTTGCACTTTGAATACAAACATTCTTGAACACACTTCTTAGTGGTGTCGCAAGATGTCGCACACGTTTCATATACGCAGTCTTGTTGACAGGTGTTTTGATCACAAATTGCGTGTACAGTAAACGAATTTTCATTAAGTTCGTATAAACACCATAGCACAAGCAACACCAGGGTAAATCGTTTAGCGGTCGTTGTAATCATCTACGAAGATAAGAGGTTTTGTCATAAGCGAAAAAATACAGTAAACAAAATAGCTACATTTAATAAGTTTGAATGTTTGCATAGCAAGAAAAGTAATTTTGTACGTTCGGAAATACCACGTAAAAAATTAAATCAAAACTAAATTCACGTGGTGTTTTCACAAGCAAGGGGAGCATATTCATGTATATGGATTCATATTTACATACCTTGGCAAGTAAAACGGTTATAAATAACTATAAATTTTGTATATCATTCGGCATATAAGATAATAGGAGTTCCCAACATTACTTAGAACATTGATGAAGAAGGATTATTTATGTGGCAAAAGGAATGCACAAGCGCCGTTTTATTTTATGACAAAATTTTGCGTAATTTGTCTCCATCCCGTATTTATACTAACAGATGGATGATGCATCTAGACTAACTACCACATACATACATAAACAATTTATTTATTGACGCATTTCTCATCACCATTAAATTGATGTTCTTCCTGAGAAACGTCAAAGGAATAAAACATATTTGCAAAAAAGGTTTCTTGGAAGGTCTGATATGTGTTGATCAAACTAGGCTTCAAGATGCCTTTTAAAACTACTCTCTTAATTCAAAAGATTGAAAATTTCAATCTTTCAAAAGTCTGAAAAAAAATTCAATCGATTAGATTGAAATTAGATTTAAAAAATGCGTTCTCAATTTGTCATTCGATTGAAATGACAGCCTTTTAGAGCATCTGATTGCTATTTCAATCTTTTAAAGGATTGATATTTTTAGCCAATCATAACTCTCAAAAATCGCGCGTGGCTATCATGCCACTCATGCTATGCCAATTTGAGGAAAAAGAGTTTTGCTTTTTCTGAGATAGTCATGCAGGGCGAAGGAAATACTTCGAATCTTCGTGTAACATTGGAAAAGCAAGGATTCACTTCGGAGGTAATTTCAAAACTGGAAGGTAAGCGATTCACCTTTAAATATAATACTGTTTTCTTGCCCGTGCTAGAATAGTTTTTAACCTGCTTTCAGTGTTTTGGTTCATAGTTTAAATTTTAATGCATGCATCTTGTGGGAAGGCCATTGGCGAAATATACGTACAAAAAGTTTCATAACTTACGAAACCATTTCAAGGCATATGAAAAACTTCCGAAGAAAACCTCAACCTACAATATTGTATCTCCATTCAACGTTTAAAAATGCAAAACGGCGCCATTCGTTAAAAAAGGCTAAATGTTGTTTTAAATTATAGTTTTCAGTGGAAAAATGGCGTCGCCATTTTCTTTGCAGCACAACTATACTGTAGATATACAACACATTTTGAAGCCCTACTACTTTACATGAACTGTATAAAACGCGATTTGACCACATTTACATCGTTGCCATTATTTCACGTCAAAATATTCTGCTTTCATATTTTGTCATTTGTGAATTTGTTGCGTTTTCTGGCTCAAAAATGTTTGTAATTTAAGAGAGGGCAAAAAGAAGGCAAACTCCCTCTGACAAGAAAAAAATTCTGCTGTTTGGAAATTAATTTAAAACTTGTTTAGTCGATTAAATATTAAAAGAAAATAACTTATTAATTATTGTAAAAACAAGTTAGCTGAAGCACTCGAGACTTCCTCGAGCTAGATAACGCTTGAGCGTATATTATAGTTTCAAGTAATATATATATATATATATTATGTTATAGCTATATATAGCTATAATTTTATTTGTTTATATAATTAAAACTTTGGGCTCGGATGTCGAGCAATTTAAGCCTCGAGTAAAACGATAGGATAATATAAACTTTCCTCATAAACTCTACAAATTGTGAACTTGCTCGCTTGCAAAGGTGCAAAATAGCTGCAATGGCGTGCCAAGTTGTGTTTCAAACTAATTTGCATGGATCAAAGCTAAACAGGCCATTATTGAACTTTACCCCGTCTCATGTACTGCACTATGCTGATGCATGCTTTGCTCATTCAGTTATATTTTTAATATGGAGAGGTCCAACTTTTATATGTATAAAGTCAATGAGCAATTTAAAATAGTTAGATGTTTTGGCAGAGTTGATAAAAGCAAGTTGGCTGCACTCAGCAGACCATATTCAATATATATGTGGCATTTCACTGCCATTTCATTGTATGTGTTATAAATGTTATTTAGGCATGAACTTAATTACTTATTAGTATTATGATATTGATATAAGACTAGGGCATTAATTTATTCAAAGTCACTTAGCCTAATGACTGAATGCCTGAATTATAGGTTGGAAAGCATGTCTCTTGCCTGCATATTGTAGTTAGTTTAACGTGCATGGAACAAGTAGTGCTGTTTCATATGTGAGCTGCTTTGAATTTCAAAGTGTAGCTGTATGCACTTAATTATATAATGCACATTCTCCAATGCCATGGCTCCTTTAAATTAACTTGGAAATAGAATGTGAGGGACAACTGTCATATAATAATTTTTTAACCCATTAACTTCCAGTCCTCTACTGAGTATTGAGTAACATTTGAATACATTCCTTTTCAATGATAGGTAAAATCATGTGGCCTTACCTAGATTATAGGGATCATGCACATAGGTTACATTGGTGCTTATTGGCTTAACAAGTCTAGCTAAGATGGATTTCTTTATGTATAACTATTATGCTGCCATACTATGTACTGTATACATATGGTCCCCTTGTCTAACAGGTAAAATCGTCTGAGTAAATGGATAAACTAGTTCTGCCACATTTGGGTAGATTGCTAGCTTCTCGATGACCATGGGATATAATGAGAGAAACTTGCTCTTGCATTTTTATTGGCATGGTGGTCAGGATTTAATCCATTTTCTTGAAACTTTGGTCATGCATGTACCTATTTATTCCTCAGTGGACCTTCCCAAGGATTGTTTTTATTCCAGATGACTCCCCTTCCATTAAACATTATGCAGCATTAAAGAAACTTGTTTTTATATAAAAAGATGGGTGATTGTTTGGTGACATTCTGCACTTATAATATTGTATCAAACTAAACCAAGTTCAATATAGAGAACACTAAACACTGAACAAAATTTCAAAAAAATTGCCTTAGTTTAAACATTTTAATTCCAGGGGACCCTCTACCACTAATTCATAAACTTGAGCAGTAGGAACTCAGACATGGACAGAAAATAGCTCACACTTTTTATCTAGGAATGCACACATTCAACTTAACTACAGACTTGAGAAATTTAAATCATAGCTTTATTGGAACTATAGAACTTGATGAAGGAAATGGCATTTTTACACCCATGTTGAAATGATCTTGCATTAATTAGCAACAGCAGATTAGTATGCGTAAGCATTTAATTAAGAATAGGTAGTTTAATTTACTTTTCACTATGGGCCGGGTTGGTCAGGGCTGGGCACAATGTTGACATTGACAAAAATTAAGGTGGCAAGGTCTAAATTAAGATGGATGTGGTATATATATATTCAAAACTTGTCACCAGTACAATTATCCATTACAGTTTTCTAATATAGTCTATATCATGAGTAAAGTGGGATCAAGTATCATATTTTATTGGTAGTGAACTTACTGACAGCGTACGTTGGCAGATTGACAAGTTAACCCCATTAAAATAAAGACCAGTAACGTACCCCTTGTTGGCACACCAGTCCAGTTTAGTGGGTTTACTAAAGGAGTTTTAAAAGAACTTGAGGAGAAACTGAAGAATAAGGGGCTGTTTACTATGAGGAGTCATCACCGCCAAAATCCTGCTTTAAATTCCATTATGTTGTCATGAATTCTGTTGTTCAACATTATCGTTCTGCTTTAAATTCTTTAAATTTCATTTACATCCTGATGTGGTCATCTTAACAATACCATTTGCAAGCATGTGCTTGTTCAGTTTCAGAAAGACTAATTTTAATACGTACTTCACGCTTCGGTGGATCTCGGCTAACTGGGGCTCATGTAAACAGCCCCTAATTTACCCTTCAGAGAAAGTACCAAACGTTTATTAATTTAATCAAACGTTTATTAACGATTCTTTTTAATGGGATCAACTATTTATCAAATCGTCTCAAAACTAGAAAGTGCAACTGTGTAACGTTACCAAACAATTACTTTAAATTAGGGATGACAGCAACAGGGGCGCCGTGGGTGTGCTAATGCAGGGGTGGCCAAAGGCAACATTATTCCGACCAGCACGTTTTTTTCCGACATCTTTATAAGAAAAAAGTAACGAATATTGATAAAACTGACAGGGGGTTTTGGGCAAGGACGCGCATGCAGTTGCTATGACAAAGATCACGAGCTACGTCTACTAATTTAAATTGACGCTTCATGCACAATGTTTGTGGGAAAACTGTATTACAGAGATTTCTAATCCACGTGCATTAACAAATAACGCGATACGTTATTTCAGGATACTCTATTATAGCTTTGTAATCTTAGTGGATGAGCATACAGCGTATTCTATACGCAACATTTGTTTATAACCAAAATATAAACATATTCGCAATTGCTTCAATCCTCTCATCAGTTTAGTTCTTCCGCTGTACTATCGTGGTACCTTATCTTTGTATAAACTTCAGGAAGCGTTTGACTAAAAGTACTAACTTGAAAAGGATTTGCTGTAGCTCCAGCATTCTGATACGGAACATGCTGGTGTTTCTTTAGACGGTCACCATATAATGCAATAAACTGTATAAACTCTCTGAACAATAAGTGCGGTCGAAGATACATCGCCATTCATGATTTTATCGCGCCAATCTCCGACATTTCGAAAATTACATCCCTTGCGTAATGTTATATTAATAGAAAATATGTTTATCGGAAACCGGAAACGTTTGGAAGAAACAGCTAGTTTAGCCTGCGCGACAACAGTATAATAAAAACTTGGGGTAGTGTCGTACCGTATAATATTAGAAATAACCGCGTCTATTTTCTGATAGTTCAAATACTTTTGGGTTGTTCAGCATAACACAGCCACAAATGCAAAAATAGCTTAGTCTCTGTTATGATTGATATACTCCGACAACATGCAATGTTCGT